GGCCCGCCGCGCTCCCCGGGGCCATGCGCCCTGGGCGCGCGTTCCGACCTGGCCCGGCCCTGCGGCGCCCGGCCGCCCGCAACTTCGCGAGGCTGCGGCGGCGGCGGCGGCGGCTCTGCGGCGGGGCTCGCTCTCGCCTCGGCGGCGGCGGCGGCAGGTGGCTTCGGCTCCTCTCCCACCAGATCCCGGTACCGCCTCCTGAGCACCACGTACGTGGCCGCGCCCGGCCCCTCCTGCCTGACGGTGGCCACGGAGTTGACGAAGCCCTTGAAGAGCTCCCGGCGGCGCTGCAGCTCCGCCGGGGCGGCCTGGGGGTCGCGCAGGAAGCGCCTGAAGTGGCCCAGCATGTCGGCGTTGGCCACTCGCCCGCCCGCCAGGCAGAGGAAGTCCAGCAGCTCGGCTTGGCTCAGCTCCGCGGCCATGGCGCGCTCCGGCCGGCCGGCCGGCGATCCCCACTTCGCGCCGCTCACCTCCGCCGGCCCAGCGCGCAGCCCTCTCTCTCCGCCGCCTCCTCCGCAGCCGCCTCCATCAAGCCTTCGCCCGCCCGGCCCAGGGCGCTCCGCCGGGGACAGAAGCCGGCCACGCACTCGCGCTCCTGCGGCGGGCGCGGCGCCGACCGTAAAAGTTCCTCCAGGAGTCGCGCTCACCTGCCCTCCGCGGCCCCGCCCACTTCCCCACCTCATCGCCCCGCCCCGCCCCCGCGCGGCTCCTCCCCCTCCCGCCCCTGCTTGTCTTCCCCGTTGACCCGGCCGGTTTCGCTGCGGTTTCTTTCCCAGCCGAGCTCCGAGAAAGTGGCTGCGCGGGCGAGGCGAGAGCCGAGTTCAGCGAGAAAGGGCTGGTTTCGCACCCGCAGGCGCTCTAGTTCACCTCTGCGGGCGGCGCGGGAGAGACACGACTTCCAGTCTGACTCCCGCTTTCTCTTGGTTGTTCTTTCGTGGGCTAACACCTGTCTGCGTGAACTATATCGCTTGGCCTTTGTTGTTACTACGTGCCGACGCGTTGGCTCCAACGCATGGCGACCGTAGGACAGAAAGCTCCTTGCTCAGCTCTGATAGACTCCGGGCTATGTCCCCCTTTCTGGAATCGCTCCATCTCCTACTTGGGCTTTCTTCTTCTTCTGCCTTCGACTTTCCCGGCCCTTGCCTTCTGATTCCTTAGCTTGGAAAAGTTCATTTGGAAAGAGGGACGCAGGAAGGTGGCTTCAAATCCTGGACTAAGGACACGGTTCTGTGCATGCTTAGAAAAAAGGCACTAAGTGTCCCCCAGGTTGTCTCCCTCGACAAACTGGGGGGATAAAACCTCACCCAGAGATTGCCCCGCTTGTTTGCAATCCAGATCCTGCATCTCCGACTGCCATCATGAATTAAAACGGTGAATGTGGAAGGGATCGTGTTTGCCAGGTTGGGCCAGGATGTTTTGCTGAGAACAAGACTCGGTCCTCCCCACCCTCTTCCTTGTACAGATATCAACTGGACCGGCAGGTGACTTTTCATCCAGTGCTGGTAACAAAGGATTGCCATCCAGCACGCCTGAGGACAGATGGTGGTTGAGGGTGCAAGGCAGGCTGTGTGGCTCCATCCTCCAAAAGAGGGGTGCCTGGGGGTTCCAGAGGCATGACCAGGGCCCCTGGGTGGCATCCACTGCCCAGTGCATTTGCTCCCTGAAGAAATTTGCAGCCTCCATTCGAGGCTGAGTTAAATTGGCAAAGGAGCCCGTCTTTAAAGGCTGCCCTCCCTAGCTAGGAAAGAAAAGTGCTTGCAAGAGTTAGAAGCATGAAGCAGTGCTTTTTAGACTAATGGACTATCAACATTGCTACACGAGCTTTTGTTGGTAAAATGAAGTAGGTAAACCTTTTGTTTTCAAGGGCAAAACTGAAGCTTTCTGTCTGGTGCAGAAAAATGAAATTAAACTATTTGTCTAAAAGGTACAGCATTCTACGGTTCCCTAGAAGAGCCTAACCTGGTGTTTCAAATGTGTTTGTGGGATGCTGGAACAACTTTTAGGATTCTTCCAACCAGCATCCGCATCCCGCAAGCCCTCCTCCCCTGCCCCAAGGGCTGCTCTGAGCCTCAGCCTCCTTTCTCCCCACCCTGCTTGGCACCTCTTAGTGCCCTCATGCCTTTCACAGGCACATGAGGCAGAAATTCAAGCGGTGCAGCCTTTTGTACCAGCGGACTTCATTGCTGGCAGGAGCTGTCCAATGTCTGCCGGTCACACAGCGGTTGGTGCAGGAGCCCTTCTGGGAAGGGGTCGAGTCGGGACTTTTTCCTGTTCCTTAATGGTGCTACTTGTCGAAGTTCATTGTGTGTGTGTGTGTGTGGGGGGGGCAGGTAGGTGGCCTTGGGTCCTGGAGGAGGCGCACAATGCTATGCATGTTTAGCAGGAAAAAAAGCCAATAAGCATGTGCTGAGAGTTATTGGCTTTTTCCCTGTCTAAAGTGATATAGGGCTAAGTCTCTAATGGTGTTACAGTGGGGGGGGGGACACGACACACACATGGTGTTTCCTTCCCCCAGCTCCCTGCTATCCTGTGCTTTCAATCTGCACTCTTGTGACTGCAGGAATAAAATGGAGTTTGTGTCCACGGCCCAAAGCCCTCAGCACCTGTTGTTGTCTTGGTGCCTCTGGGGGCACCCAGAGCACAGGGCCTCCAGCCAGGGCCATCTTAACGCATGGGCCTGATGGGCACTTGCCCGTGGGCCCCATACTAATCTGTGTATGTTAACCCTTGGAAAATCGGGCAACTTCCAAAATTAACAGTGGTTGTAGTTGTCGTAGGGGCCCAGGACACTGCGTTGCCCGGGGCCCATAATGCTGTTCAGATGGTCCTGCCTCCAGGTCCTGCCCGTAGTTGTGCCACACGGTCTCAGAAACGCACTGTATAAAAGCAACCCCCCCTTTAGGGTTGAAGAGATGGGGTGGAAACTAGCATTTTGCACATTTCTTTTCTTCCCCCCCCCCCCTTTTCCAGTCATTCAAAAATACTAGGAGGCAAAAAGAAAGCGTTGAAGCTATTGGTGAAAGAGAAGAAAGGGAAAAGTCCCTATTTAAAGTTTACAGAGGAGTTATACATTAACAGCCTGAGTGTGTTTACTCAGAAATCCCATGCAGTTCAATGCAGCTTACTCCAAGGGAAGGGTGGGTACAATCCTGGTGGAGTTGTGCTTACTCGGAAGTAAGCCCTGCTGTGTTCATTCTGTGCAAGTTCAATTCCTGTGCATGCTTATTTCAGAGTTTACACATGTAGGATTTACTTCTGAGTAAATACCACAGAGGGTGGGAGAAGTTTTCAGGACTACAGTGTTAATTGCAGGGAAAAGCTTCCAAAGGAAAGCGGCTCTGGTCCCCGTAAGGCTGGCCCTGTTATTGGGCAAAGAGAGGCTGCTGCCCAAGATGACAGAGGCTGAGACAGAAGACTTCACTTTTATCACATCTCTGTGCCAGCCAATACCCCAAGCTCTGAGCCATTCCCACCGATTCTGACAAAAAATACAGCATGATAAACATAATAAAAACCTTCCAAAGTTCAAAATTACAACATAAAACCAAAACAAAAGTAAAATCCAGCGCCAGTATAAAGATTTCAAATGCAGTGACAAATCCAGAAACTAGACTGATCACCCCTTCACCGTTTCCATCTTCCTGAGCTGGTGCATGGTGGCCATATGAGCTTGTCACCAGCCTGGCTAGCTCGCTGGCTGGCTCTCTTGCCTAATCGCCTTCTCCAAATGCATAGAACCAGCATTATAAATAAGCAGAATCGGAAGGCACTGAGTCCAACCCACTGCTCCGGGCAGGGCTAAAGCATCCCTGACAGGTGGCTGTCCAGCTGCATCCTGAGTGCTTCCAATGTGGGTGAGCCCGCGGCCTCCCTAAATCATTGGTTCCAGCGGCAGCTGTTGGGAAAGGCCCCTGGCCAAGTGGGCAGCCAGTGCCGTGCCTTCCAGCAGCCCCTGGAGCTGTGCACACCGTGCAGTGTGGATGCAATGCCTGCTGTTGCGGTAGCTGTGCACAGTTTTGCACACAGTTGTGCAGCGAGTGTGCACTGGGGAAGCCCTGGAGGACAGAACTGTGAGTGCCTGCCCTGCATCCCCTGAGCTGATGGCTACCCTGTCGCTTGCTCAGTACTGGAAGAGTGAGGAACTACTCCCTGAGGAACTGATCTTAAAAAAGATTCTGGACGGTGCAGAAATGGACAGATTGACTCTATTACTGAAGGAGAAAGAAGATACTGACTTCTATCAAACTTGGGGCTTTTTTATGATTTGCTGGAGAAACGGGACTTGGCTTAGATTTAAAGATGTCTTTAACTTTTTATAAATCGATTTGACTATGATTATAGAATGTGAAAAAGATATGTTATGGGGGCTGACCCAGTACTTGATGTAATTGATGATTGATTTTTTTAGTTTTTAGTTTAAAATCTTAATAAAAATGTGCAAAAAAAAAGAAGAAGAAGAAGAAGATTTCTCCAGCCACTGTTTGGACAAGAGGAGATTGCTGGAGCTTCTGCATTCCCTTATCGCGCCCAGTCCCCACCCTTTCTCAAGGCGTCTGTGGGGTTATCCTGCTGGATCCAAGCTGATCTCTCTACCGACTGGACTTTGCTTTCCCTGCCAGCTCCGTTACCAAGGACGTCTTCTCTGCTAACCTCCAAACACTTCAGCCCACTGCGAGACTGCAAGTGGGACAATGTGCTAGATGAAGCTTTTGGTGTGCCAGAAACCAAAAGTTGCGAGACTGCAGACCTGCCTAAGAGAAGGTCGCACTGGAGTCATTGGAGTTAAACTCTGAGTAAGGGTGCGTAGGGCTTTGGATGTGAGATAGCCCATGTCTGTTGTTTGAGACTCACTGCAACATGGCCCAAGAGAATCCTGTTAGGATTCGCCTCTTCTCCGAGCTCAGTGTAGCAACCCAGCAATTTCAAATCTGGGGGTTCTTCAAACTGCTTTATTTTCCTCTTCCCTCCTCATCCCTCCTTCCTTTTGTGTTATGTCCCTGAGGTTGTAACTCTTCCTGGCAAGACCCTGCCTATTGTTAAGTGCTATGGTTGAAATGAAACCACTTCATGAATATTAATCATGCTAATCATGATGCCATTAGGGTAATTAGCATTCTAATGATTAGTATAAAATATAGAAATCACATAATTATACATATTTATTTATAAATGCTAATAATAAATGATAGGAGCGCAACAACTCATGCATGCCCTCAACCATGTGCCTGTGTTGGAGTTAAGCTGCAATCCTATGCATGGTTAGACAGAGGAAAAGGCCCACAACTCCACATGGGCTGCGTTTCTTTGGCTTTCTGCTAAACGCACATGGGCTTTCACCCCCAATGTCCAAGTACAGCAGCTTCGCCGGCACATGCCATTCCAGAAGGTCCCACATCCAGTGACAACAAAAGAGCAGCAGGAAGCGCATCCCCCCTGCAAGCTGTTTCTTTAAGGAAGGCTGGAAAAGCGCCGCTTGTCTAGTTC